GCCTCACGATTCTGAGAGGTTTCCCTGAGAATGTTCCAAGAAAAAAAAAATTCAAATGTTGATGAAGATGAGTTGAGAAGGGAGAAATTAATTGCTCCAAAATATCACAGAAAATTAGTGGTCAATCTTTGGATCTTCCTTGAGTCTCTCTCTTACTAGTATAGTATTCCAATTTGCTAAAATTTATTCCTAAATATGGTACTCCACATTTCTTAAAAAAATACTAATAGTCACACAACAAATAAAATATTAAGAGCAACTGTGGTTGCCTATGCTCATTTTCACGGAATATAACAAAATCACTCTTTAGTCTTGCCTTTGGTTTAAGGTATGGCTTGAACTGGAATTTGGATTGAAGAGGTAGAGGAAGAGGTGGTGGAAGGCATCTGGTGGTGGTCAATTTGGTGTGTCCATTTGACTGGGCTAATGCCAAGATCACTGATAAAATGTGATTTCTGGAGTGCTTGAGGGCTTTTTCTGGAGAGATCAGCATTTGACTCTAGACTGAGTTAAAGAAGACCTGCCTCGCCCCGGGCTGGGTGTATCAACCTATCTGTTGAGGTCCTGGATTGAACACGGGAAGAGGAAGAGCAAGTTCACTTTCCTCTTGAGTTGGGACATCTGTCTTCTCTTGTCCTCAAATATCCCTGCTCCTGGTTCTTGGACTTTGGACTCAGACTGGTACCACGCCCTTGGCTCAGGGCTGTGTGGTCAGTGTGCTTGGACTGGAAGGAAACCGTGGGCTTTCCAGAGCCTCCAGGCTGCAGGGAGCAGATCATGGGATCTCCATGATGGCAGGAGCTGATCCTTCATAACAAATCTCTTCCTGTACATGTGTGTATCCAATTGGCTCTCTTTCGCTGTAGAGCTCTAATACACACCCCATGTGGAGGAGACACCCCCTTGGAAGGAGAGGGCAGCAGCAAATGCAGGCAGCAGACAGGAGAGGCCATGCTAAAAATTCAGCCAATGTTATTAAAGGAATAGTAGAAAAAACTTCAGGGAGTAACTCCCAAAGTTTGCATGGTGTAAAAGACACAGAAGACAGTCCAGATAAGGAGTGGCTCTTTCATTGCTTGCTTATGTATTCTACCTTATGGCAATAACAACAATAAAACAAAACTTAAGGCAGCTGGCAAAAATAAAGAGTAGACTACAATGTTAGAATAAAGAAGAAATAATGAGAAAGGGAATAAATGCGAGAGAAATAAGAATAAATCAAGAGAAAAGTAAACAACCAATAATATGTCATTTTTTTCTCTCTGATCTTCCTAGATCTGAAGTGAGGAAGGAAACCAGCTCGGGCTGAGGAGGCATGTGGTCTGCAGAGGTTATACGGTGTCCCTGGGCATCCTAAAGTGTTCTGGGGAGGAACAACTGCTCATCAGGATAGACATTTCTCCTCTGGGCCCTTATAAGGCTGCCAAGGCCATGTCATGAACCATCTGTTCAGCATCAGCATCGAGCCTTTAGAACAACAAACAACAAAACCTTTAGGTTGCTATTTGAGTACACACTCAAACACACTCACTCCCAGTCCAAGTCCAAAAGTCCATTATTCTTTGATGTTCATTAATGGAAAACTCAAATTAAAAACTAAAATTAACATAGAATTTTTATTCTAGGAAAAAGATAATGATGTGATTTTTATTCTAGGAAAAAGACAATGATACTGCTATTGGTAAGAGGTAAAGGAGAGACATGGAACCAGCAGGGACTAAGCAGGGATTGAGGAAGGCAGGGAGCCCAAGCAAAGAGGTGGGGATCTTCCCGAGGCTTCCCTCCACAGAAAGGAAGGAAGGAGAAACCATTAGGCAAGAGAAGGACCATTTAACCAGGAACATCGCCAAGTTTCTTGGGATTAGGGGTAAGAAGACAGTCAGGGAAGACAAGTTGCGTTGAAAACATTGGCTTTGAAAAGCCAGTAGAATTTTCAAGCAAAGATAATCGAATTTGCAGATTTCCAGGGATGTGCATTTGGAATTGGCAAAGGAATCTGCTGAAGAAGCTAAAGTCAACAGTGGATTCTGGAGAAGCAGGAGAATGAGGAGGGCTCTTCTGCCATGCAGACTGGGTGGGAATGGGGGGAATCTTTGGGATCAGAGAGAAGAAAGAGAAACCACTGAAGAGAATAAAATACCCAAAGACTTGTATGGTGATTTCTTCCAAGAACACTACAAATAAAAAAGCAAACTAGATACTGAAGTTATGTACTTAAATGCCTTTCTCACTCCAAAAGTATTTTATGGTTTCTTTGAGTATTTTAAAATTTTTTCACATTTAGTTTTTTTTAAAGATTCTGAATTGTATTTTTAATATAGTATGAAGTACTATATTGTTACTTTAAATGGAGAGCAGTTCCCCCAAAACTATGTGATTAGTCTATTCTGTGCATGTCATCATGTAAACTGACATATAAGCACACACGTACACTCACACACACTACAGAGGTATGTGTAATCTATATTGCCCCACTGGTCTACTGGTGTTCTGCCAAGACCATTTATTTTTAAATGTCCACATCTTTATATTTATTAAGGCACAGAAACCAACCTTCTTAAAAAAGACTGCTTGAAAGTCTTTACTGACAACTTTCTGTGTACAGGATCACCTCTCCATCACGGTTGGGAAGAATGCTAAGAAATTGTTTTCAAGACACTTTTTCCTACCTTTGTTTCTTAATACCACCTGCCATTAACCCCATATTTTTTCCAGAAAGCAATTTTAATTTTAAAATATATTTTATGTCAGTTCATTGTTTTGTGTCATTATATACGTGTTCTAAGTGTTGAATGTTGAATGCCCTAGTCAGTATTTGTTCCTCTGAAATATTTGTCCCTTAATGCCCACTTAAGGCCTTATTTCCCAAGAACAAGGACATTTTCTTATAACAATGCAGTTATCAAAGTTCGCAGATATAACATCAACATGATATTTTCATCTAATAAACATATCATATTGCAATTTTGACAAATATCCTAATGATTTCACCCGTTCTGAGGGAGAAGCGAGTTCAGGCTCACATCCTGTACTTAGGTGCAATGTCACCTTAGTCTCCTTTTAATCTGGAATGGCTCCTCAACCTCACTTGGTTTTTCACAACATTGACATTTTGAAGGCCAAAATAAGTTATTTTATAGAACATCCTTCACGCTGGGTGTTTCTTATGTTACCTTGTGATTAAATGCAGTTGTTATGTTCCCTACCAGAATAACAGATAACTATTATTTGTCAGAGTGTCGTATTGGAAGGACTCATGTCTGTCTCCTCCCGTCAGCAATGGTAATTCTTAATTACTCAGCCAAGGTGTTGCATGAGATTTCCACTACATTTACTGCTTTGCCCTTTAATAAGGAATCTTCGAGAAAAAGTCTTTGTAAACATGCAAATTGCCCGTTCCCTGCCAGTCTTTTTAGTTTGTAAATTCCTATTAATTTTTAAGATTACCATCTCTTCTGTATGCAAGTTTCACCAGTCCCAGATAATGATTATTTCATCTTCCCCACTTCCTGTGAAGCCTGTCCATGTCCTTGTTATAGGACTCATGGTAAACCTGTGTCTGCACAACTGTCTCCTGCACGTTAACTTCTCAAAGGCAGAGACAACATATTGTAACGTGTTCAATGTTAAGAATTACTTGCATTATTTATTAATGGACTTAGATTGTATCAAAAGAAACCTTCCTAGGTTTGTCATTTTGGATTAACAAGACAATAAGCAAAACGGAGCCTGCTTTGTAATCCCCTGAATTTAAGAACATTTAGTAAAACTGTATTCCTAACATATAAGAATGGTTGCCTAATAGCGTATCTGAAATGTTTATAAAAAAATGATTTATCTGTTTTGACCTTACCTTGACATCCTAGAAAAGCAAATATTATATTTTACTTCAGGATCCACTGCTCTGTACGGACACACCTTCTCCCATCTCATTTCCACAGTATACAACTCATAAAATTAGTGTATGCTGGCATGGATGCGATCATCATTGTCATTCTGTAACACATGCTATTTTGAATGAGTCTTATGCTAGCATCTGTGCAGTTTTATTTCTAAGAGAAACGATAGTCAAAGGCGTGCTTGTAATTTGTATATTGTATCCTTTCTGCCACTCATGTCTGGTCGCAGGACTGCTCTGGAAGATGGGAGATTGTGAGCTCTGCAGTCCCTGGACTCCTGCTGTGCCTCCTCTCCTGTTTTTGTATGCGTTCCACAGCAGCTGCAGCACAGGAGTTTGTGAAGATATCTCATATCAATACAAAACTTTCCATTTTATTTTGCTCTGAAAAATCACAGTTGATAAATGCTGTGGATGGATGTGGATCTTTGAGCCATCATCTGCTTCTGCAGAATCTGAAGGTGTCAAGCCTACAAATGTGAACCCCAACATCTTCAAAATAACAAACATAATGCCATTTTTTTCAAGCCCGTATGAACTCATTCTTTGGACATCTTTTGACTATGCCCTGTGCTCCAAGCTAAAGAAGTGACAAGAATAAATTAGACGGTTCTTGCCATGAAGGAGTATCATGCAAGAATCTGATGAAACAGGAGTGAGTGCTATGAGTTCTGTTTTTCTTTTTTTTTTTTTTAATTTTTTATTGGATTTTAGGTTTTGGGGTACATGAGCAGAGCATGTAAGACAGTTGAGTAGGAACACACATGGCAGTGTGCTTTTCTTTCCTTCTCCCCTTCACCCACATTTTCATTTCACAGAAAAGTTACCTCCCAGCCAACTGCAGCATTTCCCAGTTCCCATGACGAGCTTCTTCTCTGTTCCGCTTCATAACTGCCTTCTTAGAACTTATGTGGGTAGGCTTTTTGAACTCAGAGGTCGGAAGGCTTCTTCAGATGAACAGGTTAATGTGAGTAAAATATGTTTAATGTGTTTTAACAATTGTTTGTTCATATTAGATTTAAAAAAAATTACTGAGCACAAAGTTTAAGCACATTCCTTGATATTTCAGGAGTGAAAAATAAGAGAGAGGGGACACTTTTGCCTCAAGGAGATTCCAGCCTGCTGGGGAAAATGGCAACCTGGCAGGGAACTTCAGCTGCTGACAAAGTCAGAGGCCCCAGGTCAAAGATCACGCCTCACAGACTGTGGCCTTAAAAACACGCCAGCGTACATTGATCGGTCGTGACAAACAATCACTGCGGCATTCCTGCTGCTGAAAGTGGGATACAAGAAACAGCAGTGGCAACATCATCAGAGAGCGCCTCGGCAATGCAGAGTCTCAGCCCCCAGGTGAGAACTGGAGATTGGAATCTGCATTTAACATGCTTTTCAGGTGATTTGGATCCATAATAATATCTCAGAAGCCCTGACACAGCAGTTTTATTCTTTTATTTACACTTCGAATAGTGACAGATATTTGCAAAGTTGATTTTGTAGGCGAAGAAAAGACTGTGCCTTATACTGCAGAATTATTATTTATGTATTCCCCTAAAGCCCTCGTGTCCTTCACTTCTGTCCTTCTTGACTGAAAGTCTTTGAAGACATTGCAGCTAAATAATCCTGTGCGGTTATAAGGAAATCAAAAGAAAACATCACCATTCTGGTCACCGGCAGCAGCACCAGCTGTTATGTAATTTTGTTATAAAGCTATTTCCTGCAACTGGAGGGTTTGAAATAACATTTACTTGTATAATTCTAATTCCATTTAGTTGATCCATCCGGGGCCAAATAAAAAGCATAAATTAATCCACTATGAATATGTCAGGCAGATAACCATTTTAGAACACAAGAGAATTAAATGTTGTTTACAAATAATTTATAGCCTTATAAAAGTACCTTTCCAAAGATCTCTAAACATTCACTATAAGTCCCATATTTGGCCCTTTATTGTTCAGGAGAGCAGCATTTTCCAAACGTTCACGGTTCTTAGCACTTTGGAATAGATGAGATGTATTTGGGAGAGGCGCTTGGAAAGAAGGAGTGACTGAAAGCGCAGAGAGAACGCACCGTCCTGACGGAGCCTGGGGCAACGAGGCTTCCCTATCTCTGCAATCTGAAAGTTCATCCCTCAAATCTAAATATGCAACGAATCAATTTTAAGGCCTCTGCAGCTATGTAATCCAGTGATTCTAACTTTATTTTTCTGTGTGTATATGTACGTGTGAAAGCGAGAGACGGAGATTGATTCACCAAAAGTCTTATTCCCCCGTATTGAGAAACTGTGCAAAAGAGGAGTGGTTGCCAGTCATTCTTCCAAGGTCTCCCGGCCTTCCAGCCTGTCTCCAGTAAAGTAAACATCAAACCACAGCCTTTCAACATGTAGGTCATTCTAAGTGGCTGGACCTTTCCTAGTTCATCCTGGTTGTTCTTCCTCATATCCAGTGTAGTAAAGACTAAATCTAGAGTCCAGGCTCCTAGTTTTTGGAGCTTTATTCTTGGAGGCTGGACCCTCATCTTCTTCTGAGTATCTCAGATAAACACCCCACACATAACACATGGATGCCACTTGAGCACTACAAATTGCTACAGTGAAAGCCTCCATACACCTTTCTCCCTCTGTCCGAGAAAGGCCCACTGGCTCTGAATCAGCTGAAAGTTTCTTTGGCTCCTAGGCTGGAGGAGTGTTGGGGGCAACAGGATGGGGTTTCTCTTTGGTCAGTTTTGCAATCCACAGTTCAGCTACTAGCAAGAGTCTCTTTATTCTCAGGTCTAAGAACCATTAGGGATCTGAGCCCGAACTCCCCCAAAGAGGTGAGGCTGTTAAAAAGCTTCAAAGTATTGAGGCTAGTCGCAGTAGACCAACTTTAGGAGGCTGAGGTGGGTGGATCAAGAGGTCAGGAGTTCAAGACCAGCCTGGCCACCATAGTGAAACCCCGTCTCTACTAAAAACTACAAAAATTCACAGAGGTTGCAGTGAGTCAAGATTGTGCCATTGCACTCAAGCCTGGGTGACAGAGTAAGACTCCGTCTCAAAAAAAAAAAAAAATCCTTGCATGGCCACTCATCACAAAAATTTCCCCACTTGAAATATGGGCAAGAAGGAGGGGAAAGCAGGAGCCAAAGCTGCTATATAAACAAACATAAATAAGTAGGAAACAAGTGGTAATATCTGCAAAAAAATAACCAGCACAAGTAAATGAAAAAAATAAGACATAAACAACCAAAATAAAGTAACAACAGTGTCATACAATGAAACATATAGGAATTCAAAGGTTTCTGAGAGAAAAGACAAAAATGATCCCAAATAAGAAATTATTAAAATTAAGGGGCGTGGCCAGGACAGTGGCTCACACTTGTAATGGGAGACTGAGGTCAGAGAGTCTCTTGAACTCAGGAAGTTAAGGCTTCAGTGAGCTGTGATTGTGCTGCGTTCCAGCCTGGGTGACAGAGACCTTAGCACAAAAAAATAAAAAGAAAAGAAAAGAAAAAAAGGTTAAGGAGTATAATAGGATAAGAACTCTAGGAAGCTGACGAAGTATACCCAAAAGAAAGCATCGCTCTCATCAAAACAAAATAACACAACAACCCTACTTTCCATGAACCAGAGAAGAAACATGAAGATATTTTGAAAAGAATGCATTCCCAAGATTTAGATAACCCTTTTTCTAGGCCTAACTCTGCCATAAATTTATTCTCTGACTCAAGCAAGTAGTGATTCTCAGTAGGTTTAAATTTCCCCATCTGCAAAATGAGACAGTTCCCGTGAGTCTAAATCGTGTGTGTGCACGCATGTGCATGAGTGTGTACACACACGTGTATGACTGTATCTACCTCAGCTTATGGCCTGTTTTCCTTTTCTATAACTTACAACCATTAATTAGACCTTTCTTTTCAATCTGATTGTTCTTCTATGTTATGAATCTATAATACTTTGTCCAGTATCTCTGAATTTTCCTATAAAATTTGAAATGATTTTACTTGGAACTCTGAGCAGTCTCTTGCAGATAAACATCTCCATCATTGAAATTTCTTTTTAAAACAGAAACAAAATGTTCCCAGTCCCAAAAGGGGTCTAATATATGACTGGCTAGAACCTACATTTTCAGTTAAAAGATAATTGTATTTTTCCAGATGTGGTAAAATGTTATTTACTGCCCAACATCATAAGTTATAATTTACCTCAGTGTAGGTCAAGATATTCTTTCCTATTGAAAGGCATTTGTTCAGGGATAACTGCTAAGGAAGAGGGAAATTTTTTCTTAGCAACATTAAGCTGAAAAGATATTTTTTCTCACCTGAAGTCAAGAATTTCTATAAAAATATTTACCCACAACGATAGGGAGGATGTTATAAGAGGCATTTCACAAAAGATATTCACAATTTTACAGGCGAGGAGGGGTTTAATGGGAGGCTCAGCAAAGCACATTCTATGGGAAATGAGGTAACCTTCCACCATCTTTTGCACGCTGCAGATTTGTGCAGTAACTAATATGAACATAAATAGCTACCAGAACAGAAATAGAGGTGAGGAAGTCTCTGCAGTCACAGAAGAATCTCTCTCAACTGTAATGACTGTACGGGAGCAATTGTAGTGCCGCAAAAACAGCCTCGGGAATATTAGCTAAGTCAGCCACAAGCACCCAGTGCTGCCTAGGTCCACAGGCTGGAAACCCTTTCAGAACACTAAGCAGACAACCTGAGCAGACAAGCAGCAGGTCGGAGGGTACCAGGCAATCCCCACTAACCAGAGCCTCCCCAACCTCCCCCAAAGGGGTTTGCACAGTAACACCAGATTCACGCTGTGGTTGTTTCAGATATCTTCAGAATGTGTTTTAAATATACTACATCTTTTATTTGCATACCATTCATTCATGGGTGCTGTTAATCCTTTCTAACAAATGACTGTCCTATTTTTTTTCCGATTTCCAATTTAATAGACTAGCATTAGGTAACCCTAAAGAGAGCTGTGTGAACAAAGTGGATTTGACATTTGCAGGCATGATCCACTTTTTAAGGCTGGAGAACCCAGAGGCAGTGCCCGGAGTGGCTTCTGTCCAGCCAGCTGCCCAACACGGATATATTAGTACATTTTGAATCGCTGTATTAAAAATATTGCTGTATTTTAGTCTGTAAGTTGATGCTAGGCTTTATTTTATTGTTTTCCTATTTGACATCTTTTCTGATTAAAAGAAAAAATTGCTAAGGCATAAAAATGCCAAATATAAAAATACACATAATGAAAGAAATGAAAAAAATGCTATATTTCTGAAATAACGATCTTCAATAGTTTAATGTACATTCTTCCAATGTTATCCTTATATGTGATAACAGAGTTAAAATTATTTCTTAAAAACTCAGTTACATTTTTTTAAATTAAAATGAGCTGTATGTATGGAATTGGAATATATACACACTGAATACAGATCCTTCTCCATACGTATCAAAATGCATTAGACATATTTTAATTGTTAGCAAACTTTGACAAAAAGATTATGACAATCCCTGCTAATGTTAACATTATATTTAGTCTTTAAAAAAATAAAAGACTTACTAGGACCTAAAGTCAGGAATTAATTAGACATTAAGCAACACACATATGTAGGCCTGATTGTCTACTTGACATGACACCCAACTTCACATTTTCTGTTCACTTTTTATTTTGAAATAAATACAGATGCACAGAAGGTTACAGATGACTAGTCAGAGAAATCTTGTATACATTTTCTACAACTAAGGTAAAATGTCAAAACCAAGTTGACATGTCTAACATGTCTACAATGCATAGAACTTGTTAAGATCTCACCATTATACCTGTGCTCTTCTGTGTGTACCTGTGGTTCTAGGGGTGTGTCTGTGGTTCTATGCAGTTGTTACATGTGTAGCTTTTAGTAACCACCGCCACAATCAAAATACTGTATCTATAGCATTAACATGAATCTCCCTAAAATTACTCCTTTATAGCCAAATCCGCTGTCTCCCATCTCTAACCCCTGTCAATCTCTAATCTATTCTTCATTTCTGTGATTATGTTAGTTCAGAAATGTTACATTAATGAAACTATGCAACTTGTATCCTTTTGAGAAGGACTATTTTACTCTTATAATTTCCTTGATGGTGATCCAAGTTGTTATTTTGTGTACCAGTGTTTTGTTCTCTTTTTATTTTTATTTATTATTTATATTTGAAACAGGGTCTTGCTCTGTCACCCGGGGCCCAGGTGGGAGTGCAGTGGCGTGAACAGGGCTCACCACAGCCTTCACCTAACGAGTTCAAGCAGTCCTCCTGCTTCTGCCTCCTGAATAGCTGGCACCTCAGGCATACACCACCAGGCCTGGCTAAATTATTTTTATTTTTATTGTAGAGAAAATGTTGGGACTTTTGTAGAGACCAGCCATGTTGCCCAGGCTGGTTGCTACCTGTGGGGCTCAAGCAATCTTCCCACACTTGTCCCACAAAATGTTGGAATTATAGGTGTGAGCCACCACATGCAGCCTTGTTCCCTTTTTATTGATAAAAAGTTTTTCATGCTGTGGATATACCACATGGTGCTCAATGATTCTCTCACTAAAAGACTTTTGGATCATTTTCTGTTTGGACCTATTACCAAAAAAGCTGCTATGAACATACATGTTTAAGTTCTTACATGAAAATCAGTCTTTATTATCTGGAATGTGTGCCTCAGAGTGCAATTATTAGTTTTTATGGTAAGTCATTTTTAGTTTTGAAAAGCAGTACGAAACTATTTTTGGGATAGCTGCACCATTTGTGTATCCACTAGCACTGTATGAGTGATCCAATTTTTGTCCCTTCACCAGCATTTAATGTTATTCCTACTTATTACTTTAGTCACTCTAATAGATATGCACTAATTTCTCATTGCAGTTTTAATGGGCATTTCTTTACTGGTTCATGATGTTGAAGAACTTTTTATGTGCTTATTTTCCAACTATATATCCTATTTAGTGAAATGTCTGTGCATGTTCTCTGAGCATTTTTAATTGGATTTTTTGAACGTTGAGTTCCGAAAGTTCTTTATGCATTCTAAATACAAGGTCATTGTCAGATATGCAATTTGTAAATATTTTCTTCTAGCTTGTAATTTTCTTTTTATCTTCATAACAGTCTCTTGCAGAACTTTTTTAAAAATATGACGCACAATTTATCAAGTTTTCCTCTATGGATCATGCTTGTGGTGTCCAATATAAGAACTATTTGCCTAGGTTTAGGTAGCAAAGATTTGCTCTTATGTCCTTTTCCAAAAGTTTTGTAGTTTTGTGTTTTAAATTTATAATCTATTTTGAGCTAAGGTGTGAGGTTCATATAAGGTGTGAGATAATAGGTGAAAGTTTATCTTTCTTGTTATGAACGTCTAGTTGCTCCAGAACCATTTACTGAAAGTGCTACCCCTCATCCATTGAATAAGTTTTGTTCTTCACTAAAAATGAGTTTGGTATATTTTTCTAGATCTATTTCTGGATTCTTCATTCTGTTCCATTTACCTATGAGTCTATAATTCTGTCAGGATTACACTGTATTGATTACTGCAGCTATAGATTAAGATCTAAAATTGTCTTGACTATTCTAGGGTCTTTATGTTTTCATGTAAATTTTAGTATTAACTTTAGGATAATTTGTCTGTTTATAAAGAAACTTGCTGAGACTTTAATAGGAATTGCCTTAAATCTGTATATCAATTTGTTGAGAACTGACATTAATATATTAGTCTTCCAATACATGAATGTGATAGATCTCTCTAATTGTTTAGGTCTTCTTTCATCATACAGATCCTGTACATGTTTTATTTTCCTTGGAAAACCTGCAAGGTATTGTATTTTTTAAAAAATATCTGTTTCAATTTGTTCTTTGATAGCATAAAGAAATTCAACAGACATTTTTGGTAACTTTTTGTCCTATGACCTTATTGAAATAATTTATTAATTTAAAAAAGTTTTTTGCTGTTGTTTTGTTTCTGGACACCTTGGTGTTTGCTATGCAGATAATCATGTCATCTACAAACCGAAACAGTTTTACTTCTTCCTTTCCAGTGTATATGCATTCTTTCTTTCTTTCTTTCTTTTTCTTGCATTACAGCAGAGACTAGAACTGCCACTGCTATGTTAAACAGTGAGAAAGGCAGACATCCTCATGTTAATTCTGATCTTGGAGGTAAATCATTCATTCTTTTACCATAACTTCTGATGTTGGATACAGGCTTTATATTGAGGCTTTTAATAAAGCTCAGGATGTTCTCTCCATTCCTAGTATGATGACAATTTTTATCATAAACCAGTATTGAATTTTGTCAAATGCCTTTTATGTTTAAATTGATATAATCCCATAATTTTTCATCTCTTGATATGATGGATTACATAGATTGATTTTCAAATGTTGAACCGGCTTGGCATTTCTGAAATAAATCTCACTTGCTCTGTATTTATTTTTAAAAGCAAAGAAAGCATAGCATCAGGATATAAGATTTAAAAAAATTAACTGATATATTTCACAGAGAAAATACTGAATAACTTTAACATTAATAGACACTTGCAGTAAAATTAGAATTTATATTATTGTGTGTGTGTATACACACACACACATACACACACACGTTTTTAAAGTGAATATGAACAGCTATATCCTTTGCACTAAATTTTTATAGGAATTTAAAAAGAGAATTAGAGGCCCCTTCCACTGTATAATAGAAATGAAAAAAAGATAAAGAATCTTAGAATTCTTAAATGAGACTCATATATTTTAGTTCTTATGAACTGCTATGGCAACACAACCCTAAAATTAGAGCTGAAATAGATGGGAAAACATTATTTGATATGAAAAGTATTTCCTTTTACAAACATCAGTTATAAGACAAGAAATAATACTGTTGGAGCATAGTAAGAAATATATGTTTGGTTTCTGTCCCAGTTCCTGACGCTTAGATCATAACATCGTTGGAATTTCCCCAATGATCCGGGTGAGATAAGTATCTTTTTAAAATTCATAATAACTCCTTTTTGGTCATATCTGAGTTTATGCTAATGAGGTGACCCTTGGAGGCTAGGGACTTGTCACCATAAAGACCAAAGTATGATTAGAGTAGTTGGACATTTTTGCCCCAACCCTGGACCTCTGAAAAGAGGGAAAGGGCTGGAGATTGACTTGATCACCAATGCCCAGTGATTTAATCAGTCATGACTAGGAAATGAAACCTCCACAAAAACCCTAAATAATGGGTTTGGAGAGCTTTTGGCTTGGTGTACACATGGAGGAGCTCAGAGAGTGGAACTCCTGGGTACAGCATGGAAGCTCCACGCTCCTTCCCTATACCTTGCCTCTTTCATGTGGTTTTTCCTACATTGTGTCTTTTGTAATAATCAAGTCATAGTAAGTAAAGCATTTCCCTGAGTTCTTTGAGCCATTATAGAAATTTATTAACTAAAGAAGGGGTTCAGGCTAGTCAGTTAGCAGTTACAGGTGATAACTTGAGACTTGAGACTGCTATCTGAAATGGGGACAGTATTGTAGGAATGAGCCATTAATGTGTGTGGATCTATGTCAACTCCAGGTAGCTACTATTAGAATGGAACTGAATTGTAGGATACTCAGTTTGTAGGTAAAGAGAATTGGAGAGTTGCTTGGTGTGCAAAGAACTTGCACATTCGGTGTCTATATGAGCAGAAAACGTGTTATGTATGAGTAGAAGAGTAGTTTTTTCTTTAAGTGCCTTTTTAAAATCCAAGTCTTCCATTTGTAGAAATCATATTTTAAAACTTGTGTGTACCACATTACAAAGAATTCTTAATGCTTCTAAGGTACCTTAACACATGGACTATCAATATAACTGGTGTTTTATTTTAATATCCTAAAATGACACACAAAATCTATAATTCACATTAGCATCATTTATAATATAATTGGTATATCTTGCACAAATACGTTCATATTAACATTCTAAAATGATACTACTAAAATTGCATTTATGGGAAATAATTCTCCAGAGCCTCTTGCCTTTCTGCATATCTTGTGAGGAGGCACTGACTCTTGTTCTGGTCTCTTTTTTCAAGGGCCTTCTGGTAATGAACAACCTTGGAAGATAGAGAAAGTGTGTTTCTATGGAACAAACAAAGGGCAGGGGCATACCTAATGCCCATTATAAATGATTTGTTTTCCCTAATCTCAAGCTGCCTCTCTTGTAATGCAATGTACTGGGTGGGCAGGGGTAACTTGGCTCTGTTGATGTTACCCCTGTGGGAACTGGGGCTCAGCAAACAGTCACACAAATGATGGCAGTCTGCAAGTAGGGTGAAATCTTAGGCCTGTCATTTTCTACAGATATGTGATTTATTATACCTACTGTAAGTAAATTAATTAGGAAATAAACTCTTCATTTATGGAAGACAAATGGCACTTTTGAAGTTCTAAGAACATGGTAATTTATAAAATGGCACATCTATGTCTGAAAACCAAATTCATCATTCATTTTTATGTTAATTTATCTCTTTTTAAAAATAATTCATACAAGAGATACTTTTCTTTCAAAATATATGTCAAATCATGTCACTACCTTCTTCAAAACATGCCAGTGACTTCCCCTTCTCGTTCAGGGTAAAATCCAAAGTGTTACCCATAGCCTAAAGGACTCTTCCAGACCTTATCTCCTGGTGCTTCTCTGAAATTATCATGCACCACGCTCCCGTGTCCACCCTGCAACCACACGGGACTCCCTGCTAGCTATTCTTCAAACACACCATCCACACTTTCTTCTGAGGGCCTTTGTGTCTGCTTCCTCTCTCTGAAACAACCTCCCATTTATCTTCCCTTTGTTGCTCTAGACCTGATGACTACAATAGCCAAGAGCCCACAGAAGTAATATTGGAACAGAAATTCTGTCTACAGTAGTCAGTGTACACCAAATTGTTTTAACATTTTCCTAACATGCTTCTGCTCTTATTTATATATTTTTTATCTTGTACATTTTGGTGTAGATCTCTCTTATAATTTGGTTTTCCTTATAATTCTTATCTTGCTAAGGTAAAAATCGGCACTGAAAAACTACTGAATTAGGGAATAAAAACACCCATAGCACTTGAAACATAATTGATGATTGGGGCAAATACCTACTGCACCAAATATACTTCTCCTCTTTTTACCAATGTTCTCAGCTAAAAGACTGCAATTCTGTCTCATTCTTGCATCCAGATAGGGAAATGTAGCTAATCTCTGAGAAGTGAGTTACAGTAGAACTTGTAGGTGATATCTAGCAGTGCTACTCAGAGAAGGTTTGCTACTCTTTCCTTGACATGATTTCACTGTGTCCCCACCCAAATCTTATCTTGAATTGTAGCTCCCATAATTCCCACGTCATGGAAGGGACCCCATGGGAGGTAATTGAATCAAAGGGTCAGGTCTTTCCCATGTTGTTATCATGATAGTGAATAAGTCTCATGAGATCTGCACATGCTCTCTTGCCCTGCACATGCTCTCTTGCCTGCGGCCATATAAGATGTGACTTTGCTCCTCGCTCACCTTCCACCATGTTTGTGAGTCTTCCCCAGCCATGTGGAACTGTAGTCAATTAAACCTCTTTCTTTTATAAATTACCCAGTCTTGGGTAAGTCTTTAACAGCAATGTGAGAATAGACTAATACATTCCCCCGTCTCTTTTTCCTGCAACAATAAGATGATCTGTGGCACAGTTAGGACAGTAGACCAAAAAGACAGAAAACAATAAAGCTAGAAGGTATTTAGGTACCTAAGGTAAGAGCTCTGTCTACTACTACAAATAAGTGACATGAAAATATATGACATGCCTACTTCTGCAAATACATGACATGAAAGAGAAACAAATTTATATCCTGCTTTAGCCAGTACTGTTTTGGAGTTTCTGTTTTATGCATCAGAATGTAATCTTGAATGAAAAACTATTCAAAGAAATTTGAGTAGGCTAATAGCATAGCCCCATCATTCTATTACCCCATCCCATATATATATATATATATATATAATTTTTTTTTTTTTTCTGAGACGGAGTTTCACTCTTGTTACCCTGGCTGGAGTGCAATGGCGCGATCTCGGCTCACCACAACCTCCGCCTCCTGGGTTCAGGCTATTCTCCTGCCTCAGCCTCCTGAGTAGCTGGGATTACAGGCACGCACCACCATGCCAATTTTTTGTATTTTCAGTAGAGACGGGGTTTCAACATGTTGACCAGGATGGTCTCAATCTCTTGACCTCGTTATCCACCCACCTCGGCCTCCCAAAGTGCTGGGATTACAGGCGTGAGCCACCGCCTATATCATTTTTATTCTATCATTTATCATCATCTGACAAGGATGCCTTTATTAGTAATTGTTCATTTGTTTGTTGCCTATTTCTTCTCTCCAAACCCCAACTACACTACAAGTTTCAGGAGAACAGAAGCTCTTTCTTGATGACTGGTATATTCTTAGTACCTGCCAAAACAGGCACTCAATAAATGTTAAATATGTGAAAGATGATGAATTGGTCGTTGAATCTTTACAAGTGATCCTGTGCTATGAGTATATAAATGAGGACTCTCATTTGGAAGTAAGACCATTTTTCTGCATTAAAAGCATTTACTGGAAATCATGTATCGCTTTTTCACATTAAATGAGGCTCACAGATAAAACTGAGTGACTTGTTGGTAGCAAATCAAAGTCTTAGGATCATAAAAGTCTCAAGGGTCCTATTATTCTGCAAACCTTTGGTGGATTCCACAGCTTGTAATTCCTGAAGGACACACTGATTTCTCAATCTGCATATCAATGAACAGCCCTTTTTTTAAGCAAAGATGTTATCTTTAAATTACAAATGGAAACTTGCACTCCGTGTCAATCAGAGATTTGGAAAGGGGTGTGTATACAAAGGGTGGGCACCTGAGAAGTTTTTGACAGCCTAGAGAGAGTAAAGTGACCGATAATTATTCTTACACTTGAAATACCTTTCACTTATGCTTTATGACTGCTATCCTCAGCCAACAAAACTATGCAAGCCATAAAATATTTCTGGAGGCTCAGAAAGTGAATCTCTTTTTACTGTACGAGGAGCAAGGGCATAATCCAGACCTGAGAGCACAAGGCCCACTGTGGAATTCCATTTTGCACTAACAATGGAAAATTAAGATAATACAGACTTGGATACTATGGGTCATTTGGAAATAGAATAGTGTCTTAAAACTCTGGTGAATTTTTCACCTTATCAGAACTGGTAGAGTTCAGGGGAAAAAAGAACAAAATCTTAGACAAAGGGACTTCGAGGCCATTTGGTAGAATCCACCCAATTTGCATGTAAAAAGATTTAGGTGCAAAGCTATTGAGTGAGTAATCCGAAGTCAATCAGGTCAAGGAGGAACCAGAATCCAGGTCCATTCCAGGAAGGTTCCTTTCTTTCCAGGGCACCATCCCATGAGCCCCATTCTGTAATTTAAGTTTAGCATAGAGTCCCTTACCTGGTTCTTCTATACATCCTGAAGAGTGAAAATTACCACAAAATACTAAGGCTGGTAGCACACTGCCTGGGATATAGTAAGCCAAGAAGGCTGCATATAAACAGCTTGCCCTCATCACCCATGCTGTTCCATTCCCTCCTGGATGTGGCCCATTTCCTCCATTTTGCATTCCTCGGGATCCCTTCTCTCCTATTTTTTCATTTGATTAAAGATGGATGCTTGGCTGCCACTTTCAGCCATCAGTCTGTAGTGAGAGAGGGTGTATGAAAATATCATATTTCATAATATTAACAAAATCAGAGCATTTAAGGTGATTTTATTTTTCATCTGTAGCATTAAGCCTTCGAGTCTGGGTTTCAGTTTGAGATTGACATAGAATACAGTCTTGGCATAAAATAAAGTGTACAGATGTATGTTTGGGAAGAGGGGTGTGTGTGTGTGTGTATGTGTATATATGTGTTTGTGTGTGTATGTGTGTGCATGTATGTGTGTATATGTGTATGTATGTGTGTGGGGGGGTATGTATGGGGTGTATATGTATGTGTGTAGGTGTGTGTATGAATGTGTGTCTGTGTGTCTGTGTATGAACGCATGTGTGTATCTTTGTGCAGTTTTAACATATTTTGTGTCTGAGTCCTGATCAAGAGCAGAAGGATAAATAAAACAGTGACAGGATCAAACCTCATTATGTTCTCTGTCCTTCTCGAGTTGGAAAATGAACTTTACCATCCTCTTTAGCTTTACTATTTAATGATGAAAGAAAATCTCTCTGACAGGTCCTATCATTGCAGATAATGATCGGCTCTTCTTATACAGAAAAACTGTTAATTGCTAATTTATACATGTTTGTTAACTTCTTTCCTTCCTGGCTTTAAAATTGCTAACAGTGAAACAACTGTTACCTGAAAAAAGGGAAAGTGCTTTTTTGTTTGTTTTATTTTCTGTTCTCTTAAGAAGTCTTTGCTTAGACTAAGTTTACATAGCCTACTACATAGCAGGAACTCTAAACGGTGAGGATGAGAAACCAAAGATACATAAATCATGCTATCTTCTCAACAAGGAATCCATTCTGTAGAGAAAACAAACATCAGAAAATAGGCCTACGTATAGAGTCTTGCATGTGGGTCACATACACATGGGCCACGGAAGGAAATAATGAATTTTCAAGGTGACTCAGGGAAGGCTTCATGATCTGGATTTCATGAAATAGGGTAGAATAAGCCAGACAAAGAACTGGAAAGGCCATTTTAGGAAGAAAGAAAAACTGGCACAAAAAACGCAGGTGTGAAGTGGCCTGCCATGTATTAAAAATGAGAAGTGACAAGGAGGTTGGAAAAACAAAAGTGTAAAAAATAAATATTTTCTAGTCTCAATGTAAGACTGACTTACCAATTGTTTGTACACTGTCAAAAGCTTCTGTGAACAAGCCTCCTCATGAGAGTGAGAAAATAGGAGCCCAAGTTACCAGGATAGGCGTTAAATAAACTCAGGGTCAAATATCTTAAAAGAATAGGCACATTTTTACGACAAAAATAGACACATTTTTGTAACAGGAATGTTATGTTTATAACAAACATACCTTTGTTTCTTTTTCATAAAAGAAACCGGGAGTAAGCTAACCAGGTTGGCATGGAAACCTTGGCTCCACAAAGATATTCTGAAGCCCAGGTTAGTTCCATCTTCTACCTTGACATCATCTAGTTTCAGAGGCAGAAGATGGAACTAACCCGGACTTCAAAATTTCATCATTCTCATCTATATGTTTCAAGGTGATTTATCGTCAAGTCTGAGCTCCAACTTTAAGATCTGGGGATAGGTGAAAAACAAGGCAAGCAATTTCAAGCAATGTATGCGCAAAGCTAACACATCTGCCTGTTCCTCTCAGGGTGGCTAAACCTGGTCATGTGGCCACACCTAGCAGGAGGGGCTGATATATGTTCTTGGAGGCCAGCATGCAAAACCAGGAAGAAAGAAACATGGGTTTGGGAGAGAAAGCTAGATGTCTGCAACATCCTAAATTATCAAAGTCAGTAGCAAATCCCAAAACTAGGTAATCTGTGATCCAGGAAAGGTATGTTCATAATTCTTTTGCAAAGGAATCTACATATTAGTCCTGGCTGAATGTATTAGCTCTGTGATTTAAAGAATGGTCCTAAGTGTTCTTATCTCTACTGGGAAGATCTCCTTATTAGCTGATTTTGAAGATCTCTTTTTTGTCACATTTTCTCCCCCTCAAGCTTTTTTCTATGACCTGTAATGTTGTAAAGACCACCCCCTTCTTAAAACTCTTCCACCCAAGCCCATGAGCTTCTTGAATGCCGCTTCATCCCAGATCTCTTCAAATTCCATTTTCACCTGCTGTGTACTTTCTGCTTCTTCCTCTTCCTTCATCACATGAGTGGGCTCCTATCCTTGTCCAAATTCTTAGAGACACTTACCCTTTCATTAGTACCCTCCATCCTTTCATCATCCAAATCAAGTAGCTCTTCTAATACTTTCCCTTTAGGTATAAATTTCCAGCCTAAAACCCTTTGAGACTCCATTCATCTAAAAGTATCTCTTGTGGGGTCTCACCAAGACCTTAAATTCTACAGGTCTAAAAATTTATTGGTGCTACCCTGTCCTAATTCTTGCCTCCTCCTTTTACTCATTGGGTATTCAGTGTCCAGCCACTGGAACTTAACATTTGAATCTCCAATACTCTTCACTTACTTGCTGTTGTCATCCCATTTGTTGACATGTTGTTCCACTTTTTCTTTGCAAATAGGTCCTAAATCCATCAACTTTGATTTTTCTGATGGTTTTTACCCTAGCACAGTACCCTGTTCTCCCTCATGTACAATTTTTCTAACTGGTTTGACATTAGTCATGCCTTGAATTAAATTTGCTAATTTTGGACTAGTCATTTTTATTCTTGTCAATTTCCAATTCATTCAACATTCTAATAGAGTAATTTTTCATCCTTTCTTGTGATGTTTTCATTGGCCTAGGATGCTTTCCTCTTTTATACTGACTTGAATGAGACATATGTTTTGAAGTCTGTCTCAAAACTTCTTTTTATGTCCTCTTCCACAACCTCCTCAGCCCCGGTAATCATTCTGGCATTGAATTCAGACTCATTATATATTGCCTTGATGCTTTCCATAAATGAAAATCTTATATATTACCCATCAACTAGATTGTTATATCACTGTGACATGAATCATATTTATTTTTACCTCTGTGTTCCATAGTACATATTAAAATGAGTTATCATTAATATATACATAATAAATACGACTAGTCATCTAAGTAGCACCTGAATTTTGGAAGACAGAACCACTCATATGAATATGTAGAACTATACTGTCAGTCAACAATTACAGATTCTTAACTGATTTGTATTTCATGTCTTAAATATGCTGCTATGTTGATACCTTTAGAGCCCTAAGCCAAAAAATACTTATCTTGGATTTTGCACTTCTCCCATCTTTCATGTACATGCTGGCAGCAAGTCCCGCTATTTCTACCGTATTCCTTCTCAACCACTGTCACTGTGCTCCAAGCTATCACTGTACCTTACCTGAATTACCGTAAACCCTAATTTTTCCCCAGCTTCTGTGCTAACACCCCATAATCCCCTTTTTATTTCAATATTTTTTTTTTGAGATGCAGTCTCACTTTGTTGCCCAGGCTGGAGTACAGTGGTATGATCTCAGTTTACTGCAACCTCTGCCTCCCGGGTTCATGTGGTTGTCCTGCCTCAGCCTCTGGAGTACCTGGGATTACAGGTGCACGCCACCATGCGTAGTTCATTTTGTGGTTTTAGTACAGACAGGGTTTCACCAGGCTGGCCAGGCTGGTCTTGAACTCCTGACCTCAGGTGATCTGCCTGCCTCAGCCTCTCAAAGTGCTGGGATTACAGGCATGAGCTACACCTGGCTACAAAATTCACTTTCATAATCAATATCCATTCAGTTCTTCCTGAGTGTACTGTCTCCATCTTTATGTGGTCATTGCAGACAGAGCAATGAGAAAAGCAAACTCTCTGCTGTGAGAATCCAAGCCACCCTCTCCCACCGGCCACCTGCCCACTTGTGTCCCTTTCCTGCCCTCCTTTCACCTCATGGTCTGATGCCTTTCTTTTCAAACACCAAACTCCAGTAATGTCTTTCTTTTGCTCCCTAATACTTTTACCTATTTACCATCCCAGGGCTTTAACATCTGTCATTTTCATGCCTGGAAAGCTCTGCCTGAATTGTGTGCATGGCCCTGTCCTCTTCATCATTCACGTGCTAGGCCCAGTGGCACCTCTTCCGCAGGCCTGCTCCAGCTATCATTCAAAAGTAACCCTTCCCCACTGCAAGTGGATGACACCATCACCCACTTTAGTTTTCTTCATTGTCCTCTTTACATTCTCAAATTACATTATTTTCGGTATGTCTGATTTTTTAGTCTTTCTTGAAGACTATTGGTTTTATGAAGGAACGTACGTTTTCCTTCTTGTGCCTTTATTTCTTGGGCCTGGCTTGGAGAAGGCAATTATTTGCCTAATTGATAAAATTAATCATATATTCTTTCAGGTTTTGAGGAACAAGTTTAAAATCCTAGAGAATTATGTTTAATACACAGATTGTTGTTCTCTTTCTAAATTATAACTAAACATTTTAACAACAGTGGGAAAGAAAGTCAAGTTCTGACCAGCGAGGAGTAGAGGCTTGGTGATGATTCAAGAGACAAAGAGAAAGAGCTGAGAAACAAAAAGAAGAAGTCACCTTAACAATGGGAGAAACACTGCCCTTGTCGGTACCAATCTGAATGGGAGCCAAGAAAGGCTTTAAATGAGTTGGAGACCAGAGAAAAATAGTCAAATATGGTAAACCCAGATAAGAGCAAAGTGAAAGCCTCTGGCTGTGAAAACCAAGACTAGGAAATGATTTTTTTCAAGAAAAAAATTAAAAAACAGAGTTACTTCTCCTGTGTTATTGTTTGTTCCTTGGACTCATTTTGATTAGGCTACCGCAAACTGGCCACTGTTTCAAGGCAGACTCTCTCAAAGGCTGGACAATTACTATGTTATTGTCTCTTGGTATTACATGAATGTCACCATGTGACATGTTTTCATATGAATAATAAAGTAACACCATTAACATCCAGAAAAGGGGAAACTGAGTCAACAAACAAAGGAAAGCTCTGTAACTTGCTATGCCATCACTCTGTATCTGATTGATAACTTTGAGCTTCCTACTTAGCATTTATCTTAATTATTATATATGTCTTGAAAGTGTAATAGTATAAAAGTAGTGTTTATCCATTCTGTCTAGAGGGAAGAAATCACTTGTCAAATAAACTTCCAAAATAAACAGTCTTGCTAATTTAATTAAAAACCAATGCATAAATCCTTGTGTAGTACAAGGACATTGTGTAGAGAGAGAAGGATCCCAGTCATGAACAACGGAAACATCACTCTAGTTCTGATTGGAACCAAGCTTTAATAAAACAAAATGAGTGTATATTCCAATACATGCCTGGATAATGGATATATCCTTGCAAGCAGGTCCTTGAGCCCTGTACAGTTTATGAGCAAACCGTATCTATTAAAACCAGCAAATTACATCTATTTTTCTTCACAAGCAAATTGTATCTATTTTTCTGTTCTGACAAAAAATCAGACCCTCATCAATTCACATACAGTTCATTAAAATAGGCTCCCATTTTTGGTGACTGTTCTCACCTACAGTCCTATACAAATCCATAATAATAATTGTTCTAATTCCTAGCAATTTCAGCCCATTGTGATCATTCCCACAAAAGATCCCTTTGGATATTTACTTCTCATGTGACTCAATTACTGTAGGATTACAGGGTTTTTTCCTAGAAATTCTATGTTTTGTTCTGCATTGTTGCTGATCTATCCGATGCTGTAGGTTGCTTAGCCAAAAGCCCTGGATATGGAATACATGATCTATGTTACATATAAAATTTAAAAAATAATGAGAAATTTTGTTGACTCATGGTGCTTCACATTACCATAAATGACATAAACCCTTTAAAATAGATTCATTTTTCAAAGTTCTTAATGACTTTGAATTAGACATTAAGACTTGGAATATCATTGAATAGACATTAAGGAAGGTGTGTGGTACAAGCCTGGATAAGACATAGGCTCTGCTTTGTCCACAGCCTGACACTACTACGGAAACATACAAATACCACAAAGAATAACAAACATGACAGCGATGCTGGAAATACGAGTGCCCCTGCATTTTCAGAGAGACAGGAAGGGATTCACAGGCAGACAACACTTGCATCTGGTCTCAAAGGCTGAGAACATTCCAGGTCCAAAAGACAACCCTTGCCAAACTATCCAGGAACAACAGAGAATCATGAAATGTCAAAAATCAAGCACAGTGCAGTGCCAGTTGAATCTGGAGCAGAAAGCATGGCTGGTTACTGGGTCAGAATTTAACCATCAACAGATGGTTACAAATTGTTTCTTTTCTCAAATTTTAATGTAAGGAAAAATTCAAAATAAATTTGAAATTATATACATGAAACATTTCTTGTACATTTAAGCAAATGTGTATACTTGAAATGTGGAGTTCATATTTAAGAGCAAAGAATTCTAAGAATGATACGTTCATTACAACTCCCTTAAATAAAAATAAAATAATGTATAATTCAGACTGTTGGAAACTTTCACGTATAATCAATGTGTAGCCTAAAATGAGTCTACAGTGCATATCCATGAGCTGCTCCACACACTGCTGCTTTCTCACCTGGGTTTTGCTGTTGAGAAACCCAAAGCCATTCTATTTCTGATTCCTTGTACATCACTTTTCCCCACCTCTCTGGAAGCTTTTGGAATCATCTTTCATCATTAATGGATTAAAATATCTCAGTAATCCATCTAGGAGTAGGGATAGTTTTGTCAATTCCAGGAACATTTCTTGAAATATTCCATTACAATTTCCTTCCTCTTTTCTCTGTCTCTTTTAGTAAGTCAGAAGTAAATAAATATTCTGAATTTGATAGATAACACATATAAATATAGAACATTATACTATTTATAAAACAAAGTATGTTTATAAAAATAGATAATTTACAAATTTTAAGATTTACAATACATATGTATTTTTCCAAGAATGAGTTTAATGATATGCTTCTCAGCTTCAGGATCTAAATAAATGTTCAAATAATTTTATCAATGTTTTTTACATTGTCAAAGGAGATAAACTTTTGTCCTAGGATATTTTCGTTCAGATCACTTATAAATTATGAAGTATACTTTGGCAAAACATGCATGACCTCTGTTTTCATATTTTAAAGATTTTCTGTCTTTTGGATGTGTGGCCACTGATAAAATATAACAAGAGTGACCCATCAGAACGATACTGTTAAAATGAGTATTGTGATTTCAAGACCAGTTTCAAGATATGCACCTTAGAAATAAACAACTGAGCTATCAGTGTAACTGATATTAAAAATACACTGTAAGCACATATGACTATCAGCATTCTCTTACCTAAAGAGACTCAGGATACTTAACCTGGCATCAGTAGACAGACATTTTTGGAAGTGCTTAAACTCCAGGAACTATTACACAGAGTTTGCATGTATATGTTTTACAGGGGTGCAAATTTTCAAAGCAATATGTGTCCCTAAGAATTACTATCTAGCAAAATACCCTGTAACCTTTCTTGCCCGTGCCACTGAATGCAGCTTTTTCCCTGCCCCCGTCTGTTTCTCTCTTAATTTTCTTCTCTGACTTCCACATAAAGAGACAGGTTTTCTACATCCCTTTTGTAAGGACAAAAAAAAAATTATCTTAAATTCCCTTGGTCTTTCATAAGGGAGTGCACAGCAATGAGGCCCAACTGCCATCCGGAACATTAAGTTAAATTCTGAAGGGTCTCTGGTACCTGAACATATAGAATCTATAGTTTTAATTTATAGAAAATTGTTTTAAAATGTGCTATAACCTATGGACTCTCAATATATAGTCTCCCTCTCCTATTTGTGAAACAAATGTGTCTTCTGAAACAAATGACACATAGAAAAAGGAAGTTATTCAAATAATCACCTGTGAATGTAATATTAATATGTACCTGATACACATGAAAATTAGACATATATCAGTTATTTAAGAGATTTAACAGAAACTGTGATTTGGAAAGTTCGATAATCTAAAGCACCCAGTAATAAGCGAGGTACTTGCAGTGTGGAATTACTGAAGGTATTTTAATGCATGCCTGTTTAAGAAAATGAGCTTTTTTTATCCAGTCTATCATTGATAGGCATTTGGATTGGTTGCAAGTCTTTGCTATTATAGTGCCACAATAAACATATGTGTGCATGTGTCTTTATAAGTGAATGTTTTCTAATCCTTAATTGGGGAGGGATAAACTTGGAGAAATACCTAATGTCAATGAAAAGGGGATGGATGCAGCAAACCACCATGGCATGTGTATACTATGTAACAAACCTGCACAATCTGCACATGTACCCCAGAACTTAAAGTATAATAAAAAAAATTAAAAACAACAACAAAAAAGAAAATGAGCATTTTTTTCTACTCAATTTTGGACTTGAAAAACCAGTATTTTTCTGTATTCATTCACCAATTTACACCTGCAGTTTAACATCATAAACCTCAAAGAGGCAGGGATTAATATGTTTAAGATGGACAACAACTAGAAGAGGCTTTTAAATGATTGCTTCTTGTGGGAATGTCAAGTATCAGATTATGCTCCTCCCTTATTACTGCATTAAATAATGTTAAAATACACTTAAATGTTGACTAAACAGCCTTCATACTTTTTATTTTTTGTATTTTTCACTTGTGATATATGGAGCAGTTCACCTCTGATAGCAAGTACATCTCACTATAATTTTGGTAGTCACTTACTTGGGAGGTCTCTCTGCCTTGCCTCACTCCATGTGAAGCCCACAGGATGGGTGGCTGTATCTGTTTGCACTTTATTTTATAGGATAAAATAATCCAATATAGTCCTTTGGATTATTTTACAGGCTGCTTCTTCCACTGCCTGGTATCGCCGTTATTATTATCACTGTTACCATCACTATTTCTTCATATTAGGCTATCACTATTTTTTTTTTTTTTTTGACAGAGCCAAGGCTGGAGTGCAGTGGTGGGATCTCAGCTCACTGCAACCTCTGCTTTCTGGGTTCAAGTGATTCTCCTGCCTCAGCCCCCCCAGTAGCTGGCACTACAGGTGCCTGCCACCACACCCAGCTAATTTTTGTATTTTCAGTACAGACAGGGTTTCACCATATTGGCCAGGTGGGTCTTGAACTCCTGACCTTGCAATTCACCCACCTCGGTCTCCCAAAGTACTGTGATTACAGGTGTGAGCCACCACATTCAGCCAGGCTACCACTTTTTAATTGCCTACTACCTACTATAAATGCTGGCTTCTAAAAGGTACAGAAAGATAAAATTATTGGATGTAGACACACAGATAAAATGTGATACAACCGTAATTCTAACTTATTCTGACTTTATAATAGAAACCTGCTTACTATATTAAGACATCAATCTCCTTTGAACAAAAGAAATATGTTTCATCTATTTTTGAATCCAACCCATTTTTTCCCAAAATATATTCCTAATAATCAGTTGTTTAAATAAATCAATCTTTTCTTCTTTTACCTGAAAATAGATTCAAATAATTGAAAAAATTCTAGACCAATTTTTTTTTTCTTTTGAAATGGAGTTTCGCTCTTGTTACCCAGGCTGGATGGAGTGCGATGGCGCGATCTCGGTTCACTGCAACCTCCGCCTCCTGGGTTCAGGCAATTCTCCTGCCTTAGCCTCCTGAGTAGCTGGGATTACAGGCATGTGCCACCATGCCCAGCTAAGCTTTTGTATTTTTAGTAGAGACAGAGTTTCACCATGTTGACCAGGATGGTCTCAATCTCTCGTGATCCACCCGCCTCGGCCTCCCAAAGTGCTGGGATTACAGGCTTGATCCACCGCGCCCGGCCTCTAGACCAAATTTTTAACCAAACAAGCAAACCAAATCAAGGTTAGGATGGCGAAAAGTGAGTAAAGAAAAAAAAATGTTCAGTAAACCCAAGTGCTTTCAGAAGGAAAAAATAATTCCAAAATACCTTGGAAGAAATATGAGGTTTCACCCTTAGACAAGGCTAATAAATTTGTTTATGGAGCCAACAAATTATTGTCAGTTTTCCGAAGGTTTCATAGAGGCAATGGACAAGACTTCTGTGTTTTTTTTTTCTTAAGGAAAAAATATGAAATATTGGACAAAATTCCAGAGATGATGTTTTAGCCCAGCATCAATTCATTTCAGCGGCGCCTTCTGGATGGCGGCTCCACTATGGGAAATTACCAGCCATTTATCATCACCTACTTCCTGCTTGCTGGGGCCTCATAACCCAGCTGACAGCCTCTGCCATCTGTTCTTGGATAATAGTCAAGGACAATGAATACCTCAGAACAACAAAACATTGCTCTTTGTGTTTATTTTTTTCTGCCATTACTACATACCACCCTCATAAACATACTCTATGGTATTTCATTAATTTAATCACTCATTTCACAAAATCCTTTCTACTGGGGAAAGTCAGTTCTCTGAAATATCAAGCAAAGTATGTATTTAATTACTTTTGACCATATGTTTAGCATTGGAACATTTGCTTATGATAGAGGTAGGATTCAAAATTAGTATTCTGCACCATCCAATGTGAAAAGTTAAGATCTGGAAGAACGCCTGTCACCTCAGCAGGTGACAAAAATGGAGACAAGCGATAGCATTGACTTTACATATATTGAACACAGAAGGCTGTGTGTGAAAGAAAAAAAGGGAAAGAAAGTGAATTCATGGCCCAGGCACTTGGTAGAATTGTGGCACTCTTGGAAAAGTGTTATCTATAGGGAAAGCTGGTTTGAATTTTCAGCTTCTTCACATATCACTACTGACTCTGAATCCCACTTTTCTCATTTACAAAGTGGGGAGTATGATCTTACCAACTTTGCAAGATGGTTATTAAAAGAGCAAGACACTCTAAAATACAGTCTTCCTCTCCTTTACTAATGAAGACCCCAGCAGTAATGTGACTTGAAGACATATGAGCCTACTACAGTTTGCATGTCATGGGGCTGTGATTTCCTGGACTCCAAACACTGAATTAAATAGCTCCAGGATGCTGTGAGAACACCATTCTGTTATGAGTCCATCTCAGATTTTTTTTGTTTTTGTTTTTGTTTTTGAGACGGAGTTTCGCTCTTGTTACCCAGGCTGGAGTGCAATGGCTCGATCTCGGCTCACCGCAACCTCTGCCTCCTGGGTTCAGGCAATTCTCCTGCCTCAGCCTCCTGAGTAGCTGGGATTACAAGCACGCGCCACCGTGCCCAGCTAATTTATTGTATTTTTAGTAGAGACTGGGTTTCACCATGTTGACCAGGATGGTCTCGATCTCTTGACCTCGTGATTCACCCACCTCGGCCTCCCAAAGTGCTGGGATTACAGGCGTGAGCCACCGCGCCCGGCCCCATTTCAGATTTTTAATGGTTATTTAAATAAATCATTGTTTTTACCTGTTTACAGGAAGTATGTTACTCAATTTGTATTTCAGAAATATATTTTCAAAAAGTAATCATTCAGAGATCCCTTGCCTATATGTGAAGCTCTCCTATAGAGATTTTATTTTTTTTTGCTAGGAATTAGTATATAAAATCCATGAGAGCAGATAGAATAGACAAATGTAAGGATGTCCAAAGAACTACCAGATCTCCAAAATGCCATAAGATACTGTATCCTATTATTCTCAACATTCTGTGTCAGTTACCTGTGGGCTCTAAGATTCATGAACAGAGAAGAAAAAAGGGATAAGCATTAAAAACAGAAAATGAAGATTTCAAAGTAGAAGGAGAAACAGTAAGTTCTAAGGAATATATTAGAGCTAGGCTTACTGTGATTCATCTACCATGCTAGAAAACTTAGAGCCATGCATTCGTAGATAGATTAGATAAATCTTATGAATCTCTCTATTTGAACAACGAAAGTACTACAACATCACTCAGTTTTGGATCTTTGCTTAGGAGTATCTGGCTCTTGCTCTTGGATATGAATGATATCACTTTTTTAGAACTGTGCCTTGGGTGTCACACAACTCCAGGATAAATGAGGATAATGAAAGTTCTTGAACATCAGTGTTTCTGATATTCGAGAGAGTAGGCATAGGGCAGTCATAAAGGGAACACAGACATCTCACGAGGCTTATAAAAGTTTCTACATATGAGTTACAGAGATGGAGGTGCTTTTCCCAACCACACATGGATTCCTTAAATGCAAGGACCTAAAAACTAGGCAATTCAAAAATCATAAACAGTTTCTTTGGAAGATCAATTTATCAATGTACAAATACACTTACTGCTAAGCTATATCTTTAAGGGTATTCTTTCCCTATTTCAGTTGTGTCTTGATTTTTTAACCCATTTCTCTGTAAAGAAAACACAATTCCAAATATAAATGTCATTTTAGGAATAATTGTGGATGAAATTACAATCCAATTTGTTGTGGCCTGGCAGAGGGAGAAGAAGAAGAAAAGCAAGAGTAAGAATGGATTTTAAAAAAAGCAGTCTTATAAGTGGATCTGAGAAAATGCTGTGTTTGCATTTGAGATTCGGAGAAAGGAATTACCAGTTTATTTAAACAAGTAAATAACACGGCAGTCTGAGATGCAGGATTCTTCACAACTTTGTCCAGGGGTGAACAATGAGAGGCATGTGATCTGAATCATCACTTGATGAACATCATTATTTTTTAATTAGCATTACTTGATGTCCTTAATTCTGTTTTCAGCTGGGCTAGGGATGGGCAAAACTGAACAGGTGCACAGCTCACTCACATGGGTGCATCCCTGCCAGTCTGCAAACCACACGTGGAGATGCAGTGTCTAACTCCTCTCCTCTGGTATCTCCAGGGCCTAGCACATACAACGTACTGAACAAAGGTATGCACGGAAGAATGAATGACTGGACTGCCTTATAAATATTGTCTTGCTTACTTTACCAAGAGACTTTATTATCAGAGTCCTGTTTAATGAAGCTACCATTGTCCATCTATCAAGGGCTGTTCTCACAATTTTTTCATGAAGTGGTACATTCCTAATTCTTTCTCTACTCTTTCATGCCTTTCATGGTGACACCACCCAAGAGCTTCCGAAAATGGAGTGTCCATGGGAGGCCCCTATTGCCATATATACATTTCAGCTGAGAATGAAAGAACAAAGAGACTTAACAGCAATTAGTTTATCAAATGAGTTAGTGGCCCACACTGCTTTAGGCAATATTGAATCCCTGTCTTGATGCCTTGTAATGCAGAATTGAGCAGGGGTATGCTGGAGAGTCTGGACAGACTAAGCTGAGAAATGAGACTATGACAACCTGGATATCTAGAGGCCCTAAAGGAAGCCCTGGAAAACCAGAATGACCTAAGCATTCCTGGGAATAAAATGGAGCCCCAAAATAATTGGGTACAGAGAAAACACCTG